CCTTCGCTTAATTTGTTCATTTTCCAAGCCTCGTTTCCATGTCACTCTCCTTCAATTCTCTCCAATTTGTACTCCAATTTTATGATCACCATTATCGCTCTATCATAAGCTCCAAAATGTGGTATTTTCTCAAAAGTTGTCCAAGCTACAAAACAACACGAACACACACATCAAAACGTTTAAAAGTGCTCGAGAACAAATTAAAAATCGTGATTTAGAAGTGTTAGTTTAATGAATATTCATTACACTCATCAGACACTCCCAAAATTAGTTCTTTACTTGTCCTCGAGCAAACACAAACAACAAATCAAAATTTACCAATCGCAGATACACATGCTGCCAAGGAATTTAAATACATATAATTGGATAACATTTTTTTATTTCTTAACATCGAAATGTGAAATCAAGTTCAAGAACTACTTCAAAGCTATATAGCAAAAGCCAACTCCTTACCTACCCAATACAGATCATGTGCGTATGTGTGAAGAATCAAATATAACACCAAACATTCGTATGTTGATTCAATTCCCGTCCTCGAAAGTCAATTATCTCTTTACTTTGCTCGTGGGATTCACACACCCCAAACTTATTTTCTCTTCCCTTCCCAAGGTGTATTCTAAAGTTGATTCTCAATATTAATTTCTTACACCTCTCAAGTTTGGTTGGAAGTCACTAATTGCAGTTCAACATATCGGTAAATGCAGATTCTCCTAGTTTTGACTGCTTCAACCACCAAGAATCAATCAAGTTACTAATCCCTTATCAAAGGCTTACTCCTCTAAAACAAGTGTTCGAGGCTTAATCAAGCTTAATTATAAATTTTTATTTTATTTTTTATTCTTGAATCATCCTTTGTACGGGTGTCTCCCCCTTAAGCTTTCTAAATGACCCCTATAGCAAGCTTTAGATCGATAACTCCCAAATCAAATAACTTTAGGATATTGGGTTTTAAACCCTTACAAGCTAATCACTTAAGTCATAAAGGCTACGAAGAGACGATTCGCAATGAGATTATTAAAGTTGTCCTCATTAGGATATTTTTTTCTCGGTTTGATTAGTGCAATGCCCCTTATTAAACTGTTATTCTCGAAAATTAGCCCTTAACTTAGAGTATTTACTCAATTTTCATCCCATTAGTGTTAACCAGTCCACACAGAATTTGACACACAGGAAATCCACACCTACTTCCATTTTTCCCTACAATAGTTCAACCATCCAAACCATCCTAAAGTAGGTTAAGGGATGTGAATTTTTTAATACTAGTGGCTATTTGGGTTCAGTTTCTAGGGTTATTGCTTCAACCTAGTGCTAATTATGAATCAACTCACTCTTGTTCAAGGCTATACTCAATTCACGTGACAAATGTCACAATAATCTGCAACGGTAAGTAAGATTTTAACTCAGGCAAATGACTTATCCATAATTCACAACCAACTTACATTCCAAATATATTCATCATTGCTAACAATGTCATCCAACTCACACAAGCATGCAAAATAAAAAAATGCAACGTGTTTTTCTTTCACACAAAGGAAATTAACACACAAAGCATACTTGAAACATGAATGCAACATAACAAAAATAGTAAAAAATGCTCAACACAACTAAGCTAAAGTATGACCCCTCCAAACTTAAATGATACATTGCCCTCAATGTGAAAATGAAAGAAAGGAAAGATAAATACGTCAGCGAAGACATCAAATGTCTTCATCGCCATTAGGTGGAGCTAGAGGATGTGAATAAGGTGGAAACTGTGGTGGTGGAGGAAAAGTGAGCTCGGGGTATGCAGATGCCATGACTGCCATGTATGCGATTTGATATTGAAACTGGTCATAGATGGCGAATTGTAGTTGATTCATTTGTACTTGCATGCCATCTTACCATTGGGTCATGCACAAATCCATGGCTTCAAGACGTCGAAGGATGTCCCCCGTAGCATCAGTAGGTTGTGGAAGTGGGGGCGTAAGTGAAGCTAGATGAGATGACTGGGGAGAACCAGGTAAGTCTCGACTTCCCCGAGCCTATCACGGAGCTCCCACGTAAGTGGTGGTTTTAGATGCAACAAATCGTCAGTTTCCCGCATGGGAACACCTCCGTGTATGAAAAGGTCATGTATTAGGGAAGGGTGTCCCAAATTGCCTGTAGTCGACCATCCTGGGATGTGAAGAATGCTATTCTAAATGACCTTGTCGACATCAATAAAATACCTCTTCTGAATAACAAAATTCAATAAAGCCCGTTCCTTGGTGACCTTGCTGATGTTGCTACTGGGGGATCATTTTTGCTGATATGAAGTGGTGTCAGGCTTTACAATTAGGTATCAGACCAGAGGCGGGGAAATGAGTCACATCACTAGTCGATCTTTTCCATTCAATACACGAGCGAGCTAGAGTGTGAAGTAACACATCGGGGTCAACATCCTCATTACGTAATCAGGAGTAGTACCGTCAGGTATATCCCCAGTGTGGTCAAACCTGTTAATTGAAATACTATCAAACTTGATCCAAAAACCCTGGACAAAGACTTTGAAATTCTCGTGTTCCTTGGCATTAACATAGAATTCTTTCACCAAAGGAATAGAAGCAGCTGTAGGTTGCCGAGTAAATTTCTCCCATCCCAAGCTCTATATTTTCTCGGCAATAAGTCTTCAAAGCCCCTCTTTGGAATGCATTTCTGATGAATCACAAATTTTCTATATCTTTCCTCTGCAGCAAAACTAATAAAATGTCGCTGATCAAATGCAACGAAAGATGAAGACTCCGTGACCTTGGATTTCTTTTTAGGAGGCATGACTCGTTGTATCCTAATTGAAGATTTAAATTTCACAATGATAGTAGAGCCACACAACCACCAATCGACCAATGTAATCCCAAAATACTCTTTCTGTAGATTGTGTAAGCAGCCAATACCCAAACCAAAGCACAATTGCAAAATAAATTACAAGAGGTGTCTTAGGCAATTTTTCAAACACCTTGCATACACAAGCCCAAGCAAGCACAATGCAATTTCCATGTCTTCAATATACACCCAAGCATTCAAGATTCCACAAACCAACCATTATCCCATGAACTAGCAAGAAGCCCCCACTACAAGTTTACATGTCTTTGATTGAAGAAAAAATAGATACCATGAACATGTTACTCTCCTTAGATGGTGTACACCGTCGGCTCCCATTTAACCCAAGTCGAGAAGGTGGAACATATTGAAGCCACAAGGTTGTAGAGAGGGTGGGGAATGAGGAGAATGCTTTGTTTTAGGAGAAAGGTGAAATTTTGTGCAAATAAGACTAGGGTGGAGAGATGGAATCGGGAGGAGAAGGGGAAAGAGAAGAGAAGGAAAATTTGAGGGTATAAATAAAGAAATAAAAGGAAGAAACTTGTTTAAGCAAAAATAAAAAAACGTTTTCTAAAAAAAAAAAAACTAGCGTTGTAGCGTCCAAAATTTTGCTAAAAAATGAATTTTTTTTGAATAAAATTGAATTACCTCCAATGTACCCATTTCCCCATGTTGACTCTAGTTTTTGATATGATCAGATTTGAACATGTTCTTGCAAAAATAAAAAGAAAATGAAATTACTAAAGTTGCCTAAGAAGAAGAAAATGTCTAACTAATGAAAAGAAATTCAGGGATAGAACTTAGATTGCCTCCCAAGAAGCGCTTCTTTCACGTCTTTAGCTGGACATGGATATGGTTTTAAGTTGGTTCTTCAAGGGTAGTTTCTTCCACATCTTAGTCTTTCTCTCCATAGTAATGCTTGATGCATTGTCTATTTGCTTGAAAAGTAGAACTATCATTGCTAACTAGCTCTATTGCACCATAAGAAAACACCTTACGAATTACGAATGGTCCCGACCACCTTGATTTAAGCTTGCTCGGAAAGAGTTTCAAAAGAAAATTGAACAAAAGGACTCCCTCTCCTGGCTTGAATTCATTCCTTAGGATTCTCTTGTCATGCCACATTTTTATTCGTTCCTTGTATATTTTTGAATTTTTATAGTCATCATTTCAAAATTTCTCTAATTCATAAACCTGCAACATGCATTGTGGGCCGGCCAATTTCATGTCCAAATTCAACTTCTTCACAGCCCAGCAAACTCTATGCTCCAATTCAACTATAGATGACAAGCTTTCCTGAATACCAGATGGTAGGGTGACATTCGAATTGGTGTTTCAAAGGCGGTTCGGTATGCCCAAAGAGCATCATCTAGTTTGAGAGACCAATCCTTGCAATTGGTATTGACTGTCTTTTCCAAAATCTGTTTAATCTATATGTTGGATACCTCTGCTTGCCCATTTGATTATGGGTGATAACTAAGTGCCAATTTGTGCTTGATATCGTATTTAGCTAGAAGAGAATTGAACAACTTATTACAAAAATATGTACATTCATCACTTACTATTGCCCTAGGCGTGCTAAATTGAGTGAAGATATGTTTTTGTAAAAACTTCAAAACTACCTTTGCATCATTTGTTGGTATGGCAACGACTTCAACCCATTTAGATACATAGTAGAAAAATGTATACCTGCTGAAAGGATGGCGAAAACGGACCCATGAAATCTATACCCCACACGTCAAATAACTTCACATCGAGCATACTAGCTAGTGGCAGCTCATGATGTCTTGAAATGTTTCCAGTACGCTGAAAATGGTCAAATGTCTTCACAAAAGTATAGCAGTCTTTGAACAGATTTGGCAAATAGAATCCAGATTGTAACACCTTCGAAGCATGCATGTGAGACTGAAATGACCTCCATAAGGTGATGAATGACAACCCTGCATGATTGATCGTGTTTCTTCCACAGGGACACACCGCCTAATTATTCTATTAGCATACCTCTTGAAGAGTATTGGATCATCCCACAGATATGACCTGACATCATGTAGTTAATGAAAGGTCAAGTTAGGTGGCAATCTTCCAAACACCAATTAGTTAACAAAATCAGCATACCGTGGGATCCTTGATGACATCGCTAACAAGATCTCATCAGGAAAAGTTTCTCAAATTTGACTCTCATCCACCACCTTTTCATTTTCTAACCGTGAGAGATGATCTGCAACGACATTCTCATTTCCTTTCTTTTCCCAAATGTCTACAACAAACTCTTGCAGTAGCAATATCCATCGAATTAGGCATGGTTTGACATCTTTCTTTTCAAGTAGATATCAGATTGCAGTATGGTCTGTGTAAATTATCACTTTGGTGCCAATGAGATAGGATCTGAATTTGTCACATGTAAAGACGACTGCTAACATCTCATTTTCTATTGTAGTGTAGTTTAGTTGAGCTCCATTAAGGGTTTTGCTAGCATAGTGAGTTGCCCGAAATATCTAATCATGCCTTTGTTTTAAAATCACCCCTACTGCATAGTCACTAGCATCATTTATAACCTCAAATGGCTAATCCAAACTTGGTACTGCCATCATTGGAGCAGTAACTAATTTTTTCTTTATTGTTTCCAATGCCTTTAAGCAATCTTCATGAAACATGAATGTTGTGTCCTCCAACAGGTTGCATAAGGGTTTAGCTACCTTTGAGAAGTCTCTGATAAACCTCTTGTAAAACCCAGCGTGTCCTAAGAAACTCCGAATGCCTTTGACATAGGTCGGTGGTAGCTTTGATATTGTATCAATTTTTGCTCTGTCAACTTCAAGTCCCTTTGTTGAAACATATGGCCTAGCACAATTCTTTCTTGTACCATGAAGTGGCATTTTTCCCAGTTAAAAACTAAGTTCTTTTCCTCACAGCGTTGCAACACTAATGAGAGATTGTGAAGGCAGTTATCAAAAGAAGTACCAAACGCAGAAAAGTTATCCATAAATACCTCCATGATATCCTCAACCATGTCTGCAAAAATCGCCACCGGTTCATTGCACAACCCGAATGGCATCCGTATGTAGGCAAAAGTTCCATAAGGATAGGTGAATGTTGTCTTTTCCTGATCTTCTGGTGCTATAGCAGTTTGATTGTAGCCCGAATACCCGTTAAGAAAACAATAGTAAGAGTAGCCCGCTAATCTGTCCAACATTTGATCAATGAACGGGAGTGGGAAATGATTCTTTCGAGTTACCTTGTTCAGCTTCCTGTAATCAATGCATACCTTCCAGCCAGTTACTGTTCTTGTTGGAATTAGCTCATTGTTATCTTAACTACTGTCATCCCTCATTTCTTTGATACCACTTGTATTGGGTTGACCTATTCACTATCTAAAATGGAAAATATGATTCCTGCCTTCAGTAACTTTAGTATCTCCACTCCAACCACTTCTTTCATGGCTGGGTTTAAACTTCTCTAATGTTCAATGGGTGGCTTGTAATAATCTTCCATAAGGATTTTATGCATGCAAATCGTAGGACTTATCCCCTTGATATCAGCTATCAACCATCCTAAAGTAGCCTTGTGATTCCTCAATACTTTCAATAATCTGTCTTCTTCGTCCCTAGAGAGTGATGAAGAAATGATAATTGGAAATGTAGAATTGTCCTCCAAAAATACATAGCAAAGTTGATCTGGTAATTGCTTCAGTTCAACTTTACTGCTTGCATCACTCTCTTTATCATCTGATCCCACTGACTGCTGAATATCTTCTCGCTGTGACGGGTTTTCCTCAACTGGTGAATACTCGAGAGCCAATATGCAATCAACTAAGTCCTTGCTCCCTGTGTACCCTTCAGATGTGATAATGTCATCCTTTGTTGCACTAAACAGCATACACTGTTCCAAAGGGTCCTCAATGCATAATTGCCTTTCTCTCACGGCAGAACCAATGAAGTCTATTTTGTGACACGTGTCAGTGTCATCCACGTACTTCATTGCTTGGTAGATGTTGAATCTCACTCATTTTTCATTCACTCTCAATGTTAGATAGCCCTCCTTGTACATCAATTAATGCTCTTCCTGTTGCTAAAAATGGCCTGCCTAAGATCAATGAGATTTCCTTATCTTCTTCCATATCCAATACAAAAAGTCAGCTGAGAAGATAAAATTTTCGACCTTTACTAACACGTCTTCAATAATCACTTGGGAGTATGTGAGGGATCTATCGGCTAGTTGTAGAGTCACTATTTTTGGCTTGACTTTTCCAAGGCCTATTTTTTTGAACACTGATAAAGGCATCAGGTTGATGCTTGCTCCAAGATCACAAAGGGCTTTGTCAAAAAAAGAGTTTCCAATGGTGAAGGGAATAGTGAAACTACCTCGATCTTTTCTCGTATGAGGAAGTTTCTTTTGAATGATAGTACTGCATTCTTTTGTCAATTTCACTGTTTCATACTCCTTCAACTTCCACTTCTTTGACATCACTTCTTTCATAAACTTCGCGTAGTTTGTCATTTGTTCCAAAGCATTTGCAAAAGGAATATTAGTGTGAATTTTCTTGAAAATTTAGCAAATTGATCGTCAAATTTTTTCTTTTGAAAACCTTGTGGGAATGGAAGTGCTGGTTTGAGGATTGGTGGGTTGTTAAGGAATGATATGGAATAAGGTCTGTGGGCCGTTTGTGTTCCCTTGGCTTGATTTTCTTGCTCTGCTACTACTTGCTCTTCTTCCTTGTCAGGTGTGGAAATGCTTTCTTCTTTGGGTCTACTTTCTCCAACTTGCTTGCCACTCCTCAATACAACAGCCTTACAGTCCTTCTTTAGGTTGAATTCTGTATCACTTGAAAACTTTCCCTGTTTCCAAGACTTCATTAAGGTAGCCAACTGACCACTCTGAACTTCAAGATTCTCATGTTGGACACATACGTTTCAATATTATCCAAACGTAATTCATCTTTATTGAAGCTCGATCTTGTTTCAGAAATAAATATCCCAAGGATATTTTCTAAGGATGGTTTTCCTTCAGAATTCTGAGTGTTAAATCCAGGCGGAGGTTGAAGCCTTTTTATATTATTGCCATATGATAAGTTCTCGTGATTTCTCAGCCCTAGATGGTAATGATTAGAGAGTAATTTCCTCTCTGATGGTAGTTCCGGCTATTGGCATATTGAACTTGCTCGTTTGTTATCTCTCTCCTGGTGTTATAAAGAAGTAGCCATAACTGAATCTGCATTAGGTTGATTCCCTTGATTGGTGAGTGTTCCTATTTGATTCGTGAGTGATGAAACCTGAGCTACTATTTCTGTGATGGGATCCACTTCGTGAAATCCTGCTACTCTTTCATACTTGATCTCTCACTTGGTCATTGGTAACTATTTGTGGCTATGTCATTCAACAAGAAATATGCAGCATCTATTGTTTTAGCAATTAAAATGCCTCCCGTAGCTGCTTCTACCATAGTTCTTGTCTGCTCATTTAACCTATTATAGAAGATCTCGATCTGCGCCCATTTCTGAAAACCATGTTGAGGATCCACTTCGTGAAATCCTGCTACTCTTTCATACTTGATCTCTCACTTGGTCATTGGTAACTATTTGTGGCTATGTCATTCAATAAGAAATATGCAGCATCTATTGTTTTAGCAATTAAAATGCCTCCCGTAGCTGCTTCTACCATAGTTCTTGTCTGCTCATTTAACCTATTATAGAAGATCTCGATCTGCGCCCATTTCTGAAAACCATGTTGATGACATCTTCTGAGTAGGTCTTTAAATCTTTCCCAGGCTTCATAAAATGGCTCAAAGTCGAATTGTCTGAATTGGCTAATCTCGCTTCAAAGTTGAGCTGATTTGGAAGGTGGAAAGTACTTGGTATGGAATTTCTGAGCCAAATCAACGTAAGTTGTAATTGAGCCATACAGTAGCGACTGGAACCTAGTCTTTGCCTTATCCCTCAAGGAAAGAGAATAGGCGAAGTCTAATTGCATCTTCAGTAACCCCATTCATTTTCACCGTATCGCAAATTTCCAAAAGGGAACCTAGATGAGCATTTGAGTTTTCTATTCTAGTTTTTCCAAACTGATTCTGTTGCACAATGTGTATAAGTCCTGACTTCAGTTCGAAATTGTTTGCAGTAATAGTTGGGCGTGCAATGCCGGAGTAATTGTCATTGACAATGGGCCTAACGTAGTCCCGAATTGCTCTTTGTTGATTGCTTTGTTAGCTGCTCTTGCCTCATGTTCTGCCATAACTTCACGTTCGTCCCTGTATACCCCTTAGAAGGTGGAATGTATATTCTGGTTTAGGATCAACAGGTAGTAAGTCAATATTTCTCGCCCTTCGCATAAACAGTTGAAAATAAGAACAAGTAAGCTATTAGAAATAGACACAAGACAAATAAAAAAAATAAAAATTAAAGTTAAGATAGAAATCCAAATTAAAATGAAAGCCAATTGGTAATAATAACAATCGAATTCAAATGAATTAATCCTCGACAATGGCGCCAAAAACATGCCACGCAATTTATGTAACGTGATTTAGTCGCAAGTGTACGATGTCAAATTTTGTAGTATAGTAAGGAATTAAAAAGTGTCGAACCCACAAGGATTGATATTCGAATTCCACTGAGTAATATAATTGTTTCGATTTTCATTTTATTTAGACAATCAAATTTTGAAGTGATGTTTTTACGCTAATCTAATATAGATGAAATAAAGAATACAAGTAAAGTGAGGCAATTTCTAAAGATTGAATCAATCTATGGATGTCTAGGGAATGATTTCACTGTATTATCGACATGTTTTTCAACCTCTATAGCTATTTCCATCAACTCTTTCCTGAGTTTATAGGCAAGAACCCTTATTTAATTCCATTTGCTCTCTCGAGCGCTAATAGAACCTATCTATATATTTTAATCCCAATATCTTTATTCCAAATTAAACATATAAAGATTATTAAAGCACTTGGTTCTTGATTGAAGTTTCCCTCAAAGACTCACACTTCCTCTCGAAACTTACGAACCTAGGTTACTTTGTTCTAGATTTCCTCGAATCTGGGTTACTTTGTTCTAGATTTCCTCTCTTGAGCATCAAATTTAAAACATCAATTCATTTAATTGGTGATCAGACAATTGACAGCATTAAGCAAGAAACAACACAAATAAATTCTGAAAACGTTAAAGGAAATAACTGTAATGAAATCAAATCGTGTCTCAAATAGGTTATATCAACCCTAGATCTAAGAATTTATTTCATACTTGAATCGATTGACATGCCAAAATACAAAATAAAGAACATGGGAAAGAAGAATAAAGGGATAAGAAAAACTAGTTTAAGCCGCGTGAGTTCTTTCCTTGATGGTCGTCAATCTTCTCGCAATTGAATTTTTCCTCTTTGCCTCTTGATAATTTTTCTCTTTGCAATCTCTTCAACTGTCAAGAATAATTCTCAGAAAACCAATCTCTTTTGCTAGGTCTTTTCGTACATATTTATAGTCTTTTGGGTTTTCAAGGCGGATTATAGTTGGGCCAGGTCGAAAAGTTCCCAAAAGTTTTGAAATTCTTCACTTCGAGAGGCGGAGTCGCGTCGCAATTGGGTCCTCTGCTTCTACTTCATTTTCTTATGCTGGGCACCGCAGCGCCCATGAGCTGGCCTTCATTCTTTTTCTTGGGCGCCCAGGTGACCATGGAACTGCCCATTCGCTTAATTTGTTCATTTTCCAAGCCTCGTTTCCATGTCACTCTCCTTCAATTCTCTCCAATTCGTATCCAATTTTATGATCACCACTATAGCTCCATCACAAGCTACAAAATGTGGCATTTTCTCGAAAGTTATCCAAGCTACAAAACAACACGAATGCACACATCAAAACGTTCAAAAGTGCTCAAGAACAAGCTAAAAACCGTGATTTAGAAGTGTTAATTTAATAAATGAATTACACTCATCAACCAACCACATAGTCCACCTTAGAATCTAATGCTAGATCTAGTCATCAACAGTTAACAGCTATTGGAGGTCGATTCCTTTTCACAAGAACTAAAATCGAAAATCACATTATAAACAGCTGCAGTCTTAACCAATAAGACTCACATGGATTCACTCATAGCTCCATTTCAATCCACAAAACTTCATGGGAAAAAATATTAATCTTTTCAAACTTAATGAATCACTGTGACAAACATTCTTGTATGAAAAATCAATTAATTTTTGAATACATGAAATCAAAATTTTATTTTTTAAGACGCATAATTACAAAAAATTGATCTCTTTCCTGCAGATCAGATTTCCTAAACCTATTGCAAAGGCAAAAGTTCACTATTCGAAGACCTAATTAAAGAAATATGATCAAACCAAAACTTAATACACTAACAATCGGACCACAGTAATAATTGAATTTTCAAACAGCCATAGAGAGTTAATTAATTATTTCGAGATGAAATACATACCTTTTGATCCATGACATCTGAAAATAGAGTTATTTGGATTTTTAGAGAAAAATAAGCGAAAATGAGAGCGTCGATTAAATTTTCAGGGTTCTGGTCGTGGGAAGAAATGAAGAAGTAGAGGAAATAAAATTGCCCCTGCGGAAAGTCAAATCCACATTAGAGAGAAAGGAAAAAAGAAGTTTCATTTGCATTTTCAGAGAGGAAGAAGCGAACACGGCAGCATCGATTGAATTTTCAGAGATAGGGTTCTCGTCGTGGAAAGAAATGAAGACTAAAGAAGAAGTGTTCTCAGCAGGAAATATAGTCTGACAAAAGAATCCTAAAGCAGAACAAATGGTGAAAATACTCTGTGATTTTGCTATCTATTGTTGGATTTAAAATGGGCAGAAGGAAGAACGATAGAGAAAATGGAAAAGGAGAGATCTGAAATCGGAAGAAGAAACAATAGAGGGCAAATTTGATATCTACGGCAATGGTGCCATGCTTACCTACAGGATGACGCCTTATAAACAGTACAAATTGTCAACCGTTGCTTACCGTGGAAACCAATTCTACTCTTTTTATTATTGTAGGGAGAAACGGATATTTTGAACCCTATTTTGAGAAAAAAAGAAAGTAATTTGAATAGTTTATTGATAAAGAATATGTAATTAAAAATTAAAGAAAAGTTTTAGGCTTACGTATGATATTGTTTTATTGAAAAATGTCTAGTTAAAAATAAGTTTTGTAAAAATGAATTTTTAGAAGAATAAAACTCAAACAATGACTTAAAGATATTGTTTAGAAGTGGAAATTGATAAGTATTAAAATTTTAGGATTGTGTTCAACAGATGGTAACAAATAACAATATAGTTTATGATATTACAGTAGAAGATATAGTAAGCAAAATCCTACGAAAAGGAAACGAGGGATATGAAATATCCATAACGGATCCATCGAATGGACGTCAAATGATTGATATTATCCCTCCAAGACTAGAACTTCTTGATTCAGAGGTGAATCCATCCAATTTGATCAATCATGAATAAGTAATCCTAATGTTGACCGATTTGACTAGCGAGATGCAGAATAATACTTTAAGATCCATTGCGTGTCCAATACCTTTTGTTCTTCTTGACAATTCATTGTAAAAATAAAATAATAATAATAATAATAATGCTATTTAATTTGATTTCCACTATAACAAAAGAGAATATGGTTATAGAGATCTTTAAATTACTGGTTTTGAGCATTTATGATTGGTCTGATTTTGACAAAAAAAAAAAAAAACTTAGTAATGATTTTTAAAATAAATCAAGTTTAAAAGTTTATTATTCAACGATTTTGAAAGTTTCTAAAAGAATATAACTACATATATATATTCAAATATAAAAAGTATATGTATGTTTAAGCAATGAGTAAATGGGTATGTCACTCTTTACATTTATCATATATTTAACAACCATTATTTAAAAACTCTTATTTCTACATACTCATTTTTAACCACATATTTACATAATAAAATATTCCACACATAAATTCAAATATTTTTCCTACTTTTTAACTACACATTCTTCTAAAGATTAATATCCAAAATATTATTTTGACCAAATAATGGTTATCAAACAGGGGCTTAATATGATTTTACATAATTTATCCAATCATTTTTATTGTGTGGACTAATATTTAAACTAATTATTATTGATATGAAAAGTATTTTGTAAATAAAAATATGGTCTTTTTGATATAAAAAGTGACATAATATCACTCTTTTATTAAAAATAATAAAAAAATAATACATTACCACTTTTTAAAGTTAAGTGTCAATTTTTTTTAATTAAAAATTGACATATAATGTCACTTTTATTAAAAAGTGATGTTTGTCACTTAAAAAATGTGATAGAAATTTCAAAAGAGTGACAACATTATAATAAGTGATAGAAAAAAAAAAGTGACGAAAATTCAAAAAAATGACAAACATCAATTAAAAAACTTATTATCACCTGTTTTGTTTGTTAAATATGAATTAAGGTTCTACATTAAAAAGTGACAAGCTATGTCACTTTTTGATTAAAAGGTCAGACACTTTATGTGCGACTTAATACTTATCATAGAAATTTTATTTTATTTTATTTTTTATTACTTTAGAAACTAGCGTTTTTCCTTCATAGAAATGTTTGGCTAAATTTCCTATGTGATTACAGTAATCTTTTAACTAATATTTAGAGTTTACTAGTGTTCGATTTTCTTTCAATCCATAGTTTTCAAAGATCAATATTGGTACTGATTAAACATGATGGTGCAACAAGAAAAAAAAAAGGAAGGTCAAAATTGAAGGAAAAAAATTGGACAGAACAACTAAGGAGAGTGTGGACAATGAGAATAAAAAATTGAAGATATTTTTAGGGGGAACTGTTGGGAATCTATTTAATATGTGCAGTGGAAATTAAAATAATTTTCGATTCCCACCAGAAATCTCTTTGTGTTTAAATAGAAATTGTGATAAAAATGATACATTTTCACGATCTGCAAACCCCTTTTGCTTTTCCCTTGTTCCAGCAGCTTTGATCTGCCACCCACAACTGTTTAATTGTCCAATCTCCAACGGTTGATCCACACAGAGAACATATTGCAGTTACCAGGATTTTCTTTTTTGTGCTAGCAAGAAAAATTATGAGAAAAATTATATGGATTGAAAATCCTAGCCATGTATTTATATAAGCCCAAACGGGCCTGATCCGGTCAAATATTTAATTAATCCATTTAATTAAATCCGATCCGTGAATTAATTAATCCAATTAATTAATTCGAGCCTATAAATAATCAATCCAATTAATTAATTTATCTAACGATTGTTAAATTAATTAATTGACAAATTGTAATCTTCTAATTCTCTTTTGTGTGCGACCCATTAGGTTCCCGATCACGATACCTAACGACGTAAAATATCATTTTGATCTAATCAAAATTGATAAATTAAAACACCCTTTTAATTTTATCACCAATCACACTCGCCGTCCCAGATTGATATCTAGCAATGTGTCAGGGTAATACATGTAACGGAAAATGTCACGTGGTATAACAAAACCAAACTTGTTCGTTTACCGTGAAACTATAATCTCTTCGTCAATATGATTCGATCAATTACGAGATATGGAAGTGTGTCAACCTCGATTATCGATCATATCTTTCACTCCACTATTAAGTCAGTATAAGTCGAAAACTCATTTTCGACTTATGAGTACAACTTGGCCAAGGATTTCGTTATCGACTTAATTGAATGAAACGCAGATCATAATTTCTTACTATCTAAGAGTGACGAATCCTCTATTGATCATTCACAACCTTCATATGATTCTTGACATACTCAAATGATACCGTATTAGCGGCTCTTGGTAGAGCAACATCCAACACCGTCAAAACATGACCGTCCTCATATAAGGTACTATGACGACCTCAAGTCAAAAGGACCAATCCCACTACCAAACGTTAGAGATTAACCACTGACACTTAGATAGTTATCCATGTGGAATCTCTCGGCGGGTCTCCAATGTTTTGTTCTATAACAAAATATCGACGTGTTCATTTAAGTGTCACCACACTTTAGTTTGTGAGATCAGCTACTTACTTCACAAGTAAGAAATGACACACGTGATGGTCTATCCGTAATAACAATATCCGTATCTCGTTATTACTTACGACCAAGGATGATTTAAGATTCAATCATATGGAATTTGTATCTCACAATCACAACTCCTTGTGATTAACAAATTACGAAGATTTGAATTTACGGACTCTATTATTTAATTTAATTGTTTATTAAATAATAGATCTGCCATTAATTGCATTAATTATATATCAAAAGTATTTATGTCCAAGATTGATTGGACCAAGGGCATAACTGATATGATCCAGGAGTCGAGCCTGACGAAAGCAAGTGCGAGATGAGACCCATTGATAGTCGATGGCGAACCAATGACGCGATTAAGGGCAAAGCAAGTGAAACAAGCAATGGGATTGCTCGTTCAAGAAACCATTGATGGAACCATGTTTGGGACTCAAAATGAAGCAACTTTCACGTTCGGGTCGAAGGCCGAATCATTTTGGATCAATTTGTTATCAAGCGACGAAACCGGAGGCTGAAAACAAGTCTGTGCGGCTGCACAGGCAAAACACCATGCGGCCGCACACATGGGTACCAAAAATCAAAACACCAATTCTTGTTGAACCATGTGACAACATGGAAATACACCATGCGGCCGCACAAGTCAAAAAAATTGGCGAATTTTCTAATTTTGACCGAATTTCCTTGTTTCGATAGAATTCTTATGAAATCAAATTATTACCATAATTTGATGGTTTTGGACGTTTTTATTCATTAGTATAAATAGGAGAATATTTTTTATTGTAAGAACTTTTTGACTTTTGTTTAATATTATAGAGAGAGCATTGTTCTTTCAATTTCTTGTTCTTTTTGAACAATCTTGGAACTTATCAAGATTCAACTTCTTGTGGCGTTCTAATGGCAAACCCCTTTTGCTTTTCCCTTGTTCCAGCAGCTTTGATCTGCCACCCACAACTGTTTAATTGTCCAATCTCCAACGGTAATCCACACAGAGAACAGATTGTAGTTACCAGGTTTTCTCCTCTTGTGCTAGCAAGAAAAATTATGAGAAAAATTATATGGATTGAAAATCCTAGCCATGTATTTATATAAGCCCAAACGGGCCTCGTTCTTGGGTTCCGCATCAATCTCGTTGTGGGTTTCGTAGTTTCCATTGCTACGAGGTTCGCATCAGTTGGTATTAGAGCTTTGACTCCAATTTAATCAGGTTATATCCTTTGTTTTCTATTTTTTTTTTCAATTTCTTGTGTTCTTGTGTCCAGAAGGTTTTCTTGATCCTTTGATCCAAAAGTTTCATCAAAAATCTTCAAATTCCGTTTCTGGGCTCAATTTTCGCCCAAATCAGTTTTTGTTTTCTTTGTTGGTTTTGTTATTGATTTTCGGATTTGAAAAAAAATTTACTGTTCATCCGTATGGTACTTGTTCATCCGTACAGTAAGAAAAATAAAAAATTGTTAAGTATTATTGATCCGTCAAATACCAATTTTTATTATTCAATATTGTTTCTAAATTACTTGGACACATTGAATCATTCCATTCCTTCAATTCAAATCAAGTTTTAAAAGTTTTCTTTGAGTCCTTTGTTACAATTATTGAGTCACATCCGATTTGGGGAATTCTACACGAATTGATTGATTGATTGAGTTCATTGATTGTTCCTAGAAGCAATTGTTGAAAGAACTGAGTGGTAAAAGGCAGAGAGGTGAGCTCAATAGAGGGTAAAAGCCCTTGTGTGTTTTCGAGTGACTTTTGGTGAGGCAGTAAAATAAAATTTTTTAGTGTTAGGATGTCAGAAAGGGTAGAATCAAATTTAAGCAGACAAGGCAATAATAGCAATGCATCGAAGGATTTGGTGCAGAGGTTTGAGAGGGCGTTTGGAGATGTGAGAGATATGTTGGAGAAGCAGGAGGCTTGG